TCCCTTAAAGACTTTTCCCCAGAAGATATTTTCGGCTGTGCCGAAGTGCCCTTGCTGTATCGGGCAGTGCCCGGCAGAGTGGGTGCCTGTGACCAAGTGCAGGTTCTGCTGTGTGCCAACAGCAGGGGCACGGAGAAGCGGCGGGTGTTGGTCAGTGGGCTCCAGGCTGCACAGAGGTGCTTCTTTGGGGTCAGCAGCGAGGCTCTGCCTGCGTCCTACCACCCTGACCTGGGCATCCCCTGGTCAGAGTGGCTGGCACAGTTTGACCGGGACATGGGGAGACAGGGCCGACAGGTAGCCTTGCTGCTGGCTGCCCGCGTGGTGGAGGATTTGGCAGGCCTGCCTGGGCTCTGCCACGTGAGGCTCCTGCCTCTGTCTGCCACTAGCACCACACCTTCCCTGCCCGGCTCTGTGGTCCGGGCCTTTAAGGCCCATTATAGGCACCGTCTGTTGGGCAAGCTAGCGGCTGTCCAGAGCGAGAGGGCTGGCACGTCACTGGCTGAGGCTGGGGTAGGCATCACAGTCCTGGACGCTCTGCACATGGCCGCAGCAGCCTGGGCCAAGGTGCCTCCCCAGCTCATCGTAAGCAGCTTCATTCAGGAAGGGCTGGCTTCCTGCAAAGCCCCCCTGTCCCCAGACAAAGCCTCTGAGATGCCAGCAGTCCCCCGTGGGCTGAGCTATGAGGAATTTTCCCGCTTTGTGGACCTGGAGGGTGACGAGTCTGTGTCTGGAGTGTGCAAAGGGGAGATGGGCACCGAAGACGAAGAAGGATCCCTTGAGGATGCCTTCGATCCCCTGCCCACCAAAGCCGACGCCCTCCGGGCACTGGGCACACTGAGGAGGTGGTTTGAGTGCAATGGCACCTCCCCTGAGCTATTTGAAAAATTCTATGCCTGCGAGGAGGAGGTTGAGAGGCTCTGCTGCCTGTGAAGGACCCCTGCTGCTCACCAGAGCCCCCTCCTCTCCTGTTTCCCATGGAAACGCCCTCTCCGGAAGGCAGATTGGGGACTGGTCTCTTTCCCGTGGAAATGGAGCTTTTGTGAAAGGTGTAGAAGGGAGAGAGTTGGGAGATGCAGTCTAAGCTCTGAGCAAAAGTTCTCCGAGCCCAGAGATGACAGGTCCAAAGGGGGTGATAGGGAGATGGAAGCTAAGCTAGGTAGCTCCTGAACCCCCAGGGAGGCTGGGGCTTGGGAAGATGGAATTGGGGCTTTACAGACAGGCTGATCCCTTGAACTCTGTGTTAAAAACAGTTCTGCTTCTGGAAATAAAGTTTTTAATCAGGAAAGAGGCCAGGGTGTTATTTTCAGGGTGAGAGGGTGGAAACTTGCAACTCAGATCTCTAACTTGATGGCTGAGGGTCACTGCGACACAGCTGTCTGGAGCTGTCTGCGGGTGACCGTAGGGATCCTGTTCCAGAGCTGCCAGGGTCCTCATCAGCTACCAGACGGATCGAGTATCCTGGACATTCTGCGACATTCTAGGGGAGTGAAAAGGAGCCAGAACTTGGAATAGTCGTCGGTTGATTTTTTTTTTCTTTTTGTCATTCATTTGATCATTT